GAAATCAAAATGTGAGATGCTAGTTTGTTATTGATTCCAATTTGAGTAGAGTATTCAACACCGCCCCGAAACTTCTTAATTTCCATCCCAATTTCTACCTCATGTCCATAAATAGAAATATTGGAGGAAACTAAATGTCAAGGAACAAATATATTGGAGGAATTTAACGATGTTAGTAGACTATTTAATAGACTTATTTTCAATTTAGGAACGCATAAAAAAAAAAAATTCAATTCAAAGCCAAACAGCTTGACAAGAGCTTGAAGCTGTTGCCACCAATTCAGCTTCAGTTGTGGAAAGTGTCAGTATCTAGTGCTTCTTTGATGACCACGATATTTAAGTCTTAATTAAATAAAGCTGGCTTGGTAACTCAGAGTCCAAGTCAAGTAGGATTTCTAGTTTGTAGGAGTTGTGGTTAAGGTCATTCGCCACAATTAGAAGTGTTCTGTTGCTTTCGTTTAGTTCCACAAAATCTGCACAAGTTGATTTAGTGTTTAACGTGTAGCGTAGATCAATTCTATTTAAGTTGTAATCTTGTTTCATGAGTATTTTCCAGTTTTCAAGTTCAATAGATTCAAACTTTCAATTTCTTTTGTGTTCCAACATTACATCCCAATTGCTACCTCATGTCCATAAATAGAAATATTGGAGGAAACTAAATGTTAGGGAACAAAATATTGGAGAAATCTAACCATGTTAGTAGACTGTTTAATCGATTTATTTTCAATTTAGGAACGGATAATAAAAAAAATTCAATTCAAGACAGTAGGTATTTTTACTTTAATTTTGTTCTCCCGAGATATTTGGTGAAATTGCAATTCTTATTTTCAATCTTGAAATCGAGTGGATTGTTTAATCGATTCTCAAAATAGGCTGTAACATTAGGCAAAAGCAAATATTGTTTTGTCAACAATTTTGATTAATTTGTAGGAAAAAATCATTTGCGTGGAAGTAATACTTAGCATCAGGAAAAGTAATTTATATATTGTTTGTCAAAAGAAATCCTATTTGTCAGATTGAAAATGTATTAATGTTTTTTATACAACGCTATGTACTAACATAATGATGCACAAATCTTATAGATTTTATCTCTACTGTTGATTTTGCATCCAACTAGGCCTGGGCACGGTTCGGGTCGGGTCAAATTTTGGCTGACCCGCGGGCCGAACCCACGAGGGGCTCGGTGCTCGGAGCGGGGGGGGGGGTGGGGATTCTCGGGTCGGTTCACTATTTTATCGGTTTGGGCTTGAGCCCCATTTTACCATTTTTTAAAAGCCTAAATCAGATTCACTTCCAGCCCAAATCCCTTTTTTGTTGTCCAATTGTCAAATCTAATAAGCTCTTATGAACAAGCCCAAATCACTTTGAACTTTGCCTTTTTTACAGATTTTTCCATCTATAACCTGTTTTTTTAAAGTTTCTAAACAAAGTCTTAATCAAAAGCATCATCCAACTATCAAATTAGTTGGTTCTTACATCCCATGACAAAAAATACAAGCAAAGCACCAAATTATATTTTACATCCCATGACAAAAAATATAAGTAAAGCAGCAAATTATATTTTACAACCCATGACAAAAAATACAAATAAAGGAGCTGCAGGTTTGAACAAATGATACTAATGGCATATTAATCACTTACCAAACAGATTCACGTGTATAAGGGAGCTGCAAAAAAATACACTTGTATCAGTTAAAAATCACTCACCAGATCATAATCCAACTCGATAGTTAATTTCACCAAAAAAAGAAAGTGTTCGCAGTTTCTGTCTCAAATCATTTAAACAGATCAAAACACGTTATAGCACAAATCAGTTATCATTCAAAACATCTTATGACTGTTAGGACATAACAACAAATAAGCAGAGAGTTTACTTTGTTACTTTATTGTAGCAACAAAAATCACAGGAATTAAAAACTAAGCCAAACCCATCTCAATTCAAAAGCACCAAATTATATTTTACAACCCATGAAAAAAAATACAAGTAAAACACCTAATTACAACCCACCGAAACAGCAGCAAGTCTATCTATAACCACACAAAAATGTCAGAACCAATATCTCATTAACATCAAACATATTTCAGAACCAATATATCATGAACATCAAGCAAGCAAATTTTCAGAACTCACCACCGCTAGCCTCCATTGCAATAAAGAGGGTATTGTGGTTACAGTTGGTGAGTGCAAGGAGCAAGCCTCCATTGCAATGGAATTCAAGTGCTCAGTTCAGTGGTCACCAAAAGTCTAGAGCTTTAAACAATTGGAGACAAATAAACGGTTTTATTATCTTCTGATTTTTTTTTTCTGTTTCTTTGTTAAATAAATTTTTTTCACAACAAAAGGTGCGGTAAGACAAAAAAAATTGAACCAAGCCGGTATTGAAAACAAGAAAAAAAAAAGTGTCTCCAGAAACGGTTAGATAGAAGTTAATGAGTAAAAACCTGAGAAAGTGTTCATAAGCAGTACCAAAACCCAGACGACCAACAAAATTGCAAAAGCTAAAGAGAGACAACAATATGAACTATAAAGCAAGCAAAACACATCACTCAAACTCATCACCAGAAACAGCACCAGAACCCAGAACCCAGAACCCAGAACTCATCACTCAAACTAAAGCAAGATGAAGCAAGCAAAACCCAGAACTCATCTACCCTTGTTACAGCAGTTGATTATATTCCCCACAAATCCTGTATATAACCCCTACACAAATAGCCAAACCCCAAATTGCGTCTTCTCTTTCTTTCTAATCTTATATCCAACGTGAATGCCATTTAATAGACAGTACAGAGCAGTATCTAGAGCTTCACCTAATTCCCAAAAGCAAACAACCGAAGAAACTAGGAAAATTCAATAAAAGATGAACCTTTACAACAGCCTTAGCAAATCAAGGAAAAAAACAGAAGAAAGAAGATAATATTAGAAACAGACAGCTAGAGAGAGAGAGAGAGAGAAGAGATGATACCTGCCAAACGAGAGATAGAGATCGATGAAGGAGCAACGCCGATGCTGTCGCCGAAAGATCTGAGGTCGGGAGAGACAAGATCTGAGGTTGGGAGAGAGAGGCGCCGCTTAGGTCAAAAACAGAAGAAAGAAAAATTATACCTGCCAGACAAGAGAGAGAGAGAGAGAGATCGACGAAGGAGCGACGCCGGTGCTGTCGCCGAAAGATCCAAGGTCTGGAGAGACGAACTCGGGACAGAGAGGCGCCGCTTAGGGTTTTGATTGTGAAGAAGAAAGAAGAAGACACGAAAAGAGAAGAGAAGACTGACTGAGTGAGAGAGAATCGCGTGTGAGGAGAGGGAGGGTTAGGGAAAAAAAAAACAGCTGAGGATACGCTGCAAGCAAGTTCACTGAACCTTTTATTTTGGCCAATCAAACGACGCCAGGTGTAATAAATATATATAATTAAATATTTACCGGTTCGGTTCAGGTTCATCGGTTCTGAAAATTTTTGACCCGAGAACTGAACCGTTGACTTTCGGTTCGGTTCAGGTTCATGGTTGACTTTTTCGGTTTGGTCAAAAAATTCTTTTTTTCGATTCGGTTTGGGTTGGTTCGGTCGGTTTTATCGGTTTATCGGTTTTTATGCCCACCCCTACATCCAACATTAGAAAAAGAATTTGACTTAGAGTATGTTTACTACTCTATAATTGAACATGAGTTTGATTGAGGAGTCAAATTTTGAATTTCCATTGAAGCTATATATTAATTCACTTAAAGAAATTAATTTAATTACTTAAATTTGCTTGTTCCAAAAGTCACTTTTTGTCCCTGTAGTTTGGCACTTCAACCACTTTTGACCTTATAGTTTAAATTCCTTCAATTTTGCCATTGTAGTTTCATAATTGTAGCAATTTAAGGACCATTCTAATTTCCATCAAATTATTCTAACTTTTGTTATCTATAGGGTATTTTGGTCCAAACTTGCATCCCCTCCCCCAACCCGCCAACCGTCACAAGCCACCCAACCCTAGCTAGCCGCCACACCCTGTAACTGAAAGCCAACACAGCCTCCCAAGGCTGCCCCAACAAATGCACAAGGCATAAGCTAGCAAGCCAAGAGCTATGTTCCAATAGTTTCCCCAAGATCGATTGACATCTCCAAGCAATATGTATGAGATCGAGTTGGGAGAGAGAAGGCAAATTGAGGAGAAATTGGAAGTGAGACTTTTGGTGGGGGTTGTGGAGACCCGTTGCCCCTCTAATTTTAGCCCAATTATGTTTTGGGTTCCTTATGTTTTGGTTCAATTGTTGATTGTGTTCTTGTTGCTTTATTTATTTATTTATTTTAACATTCAGGACTTTTCTTGCACAAATTGTTAAATACATATAGATCTATGAGTCCATGATATCATGGGGTTGGGGCGGCCTTGGGAGGCTATGGTGGGCGTTAGTTCTAGGGGTATAGTAGCTAGCTGGGGGTGTGTGGTACTGTTCTTGAGTCTTGGCTTGTTGGGGAGGGTATGCAAGTTTGGACCAAAATACCCTTGAATAGATAACATAAGTTAAGAATAATTTGACAGAAATTAAGATTGTCCTTAAATTGCTACAAATATGAAACTACAATGGCAAAATTGAAACTACAAGATCAAAAGTGATTGAAGTGTCAAATTACAAGGACCAAAAGTGACTTTGGCCTTCTCAATAATGTACTCATGATGGGTTGCTTTTTCAATAATAAGAACAGCACCTATACTAGCCAAGAGTTCAATTATTACAAAATCAGGAGTCGAGTTCCTAATATTATGTGAACCTCATTTGTGTGTTAATTCCTAAATGATTAAGTAAATGCGAGATAATCCATAAATTGTAATTGAAAACCAACTATTTTTATATAAAAATAGATTACGAATATGTGAACGTGTCGTTTGAAGGGTAAATGGCCTTGATATTATGTACGGAAACAACCAAAGATGACAAACTTGACACAGCATATTTTTCAGAAACATTATACCAAAAGGAATATTTCTTTAATATCACAATTCGAGTTTTCGCATCTCCAACAAAGTAATGACAGTAAACCACATCCTATATTATAGTCTATAGTATATTACTATATATACACAGGAGAGAAACCCAAAACATGTCAAAAACTCAATTTGAAGTTCAGGCCCAGCCAAGTCTCTCTCTCTCTCTCTCTTAGTCACCATGACACCACCATGCATTTCTACCCTAATCCATCTTCAGCCACTCCACCACCCAAAACACCATTTCAGGTATACAAATCCCAGAATAGAGTTGAAACCATCCAAAAACAGAAAAGGGCAAAATGGGTCTCTTACTAAAGCTCGAACTAGCTTAGCTATACCTATACTAAATCCTGCTTTAGGTGCTTTATATAATTGTCGTTTTTGTTGTTTTCATGTCGTGTGATATTATAGTAAGGTGATCTTTTGCTAATATTGAGATATTAAGAGCATGAGACGGAGGAAACTGAGAGGTGGTAGAGGAAAGTATTGGCGTATTGAAAGGACAGTGTACCGCCATTGACCAGAGGCTTGCCATCGTTCACAAGGCAGTCGTTGTAGTGAAGCCGCTTGAATATCCTAGGGTTCACAAGCCGAGCCGAGCTGAACCAACCACAGGTGAGGTGGATGCGAGAGATGTCACAGCCGCTGGCACACACGTTCATGATCTCAACGGTGTAGGTGGGAATACCACTTGGGAGTGGGCCCGTGGGACCCTGGTTTATCACTATGTCTGCCTTGCTACACTTTTCTCCTGGAATTCTGTTTGGTTCGTCCATTTCTGTCGCTAAACAAGTAAAAGCAAAACACAATTAAAAACAAAACAAAATTAAAGAAAGAAAAAGAGGAAAAAAAAGGGTGCTTAGGCATTGTAATTAGGGTGGTGTGCATCCAATTAGACAATACAATGCAAACCGACCAAGCCTTCCAATAGGGCTGGCGGGGAGGGAGGGCATCTGCAGACAAAACACACTTTTGATAGGTGACTCACAGGAATAATACATGAAAAGTGAAAACAAACAAATCTAAACCCCAAAAAGGCTAAAATATAGAGAGAGATGGGATGGGACCAGCAAGCTTCTGCTTTGCTTTCATTGTATCATCTATTCATCTCTGCTTTTCAGCTTTATGCTTAACTTTTGGGTATTGGAAAATTAACATTCAAGAAAAAAGTAAATCGCTTCTAGTCAACACGCATTTCCTTTTCACTTATAGAGTGACATTTCCATCTGTCAAACAGCCACTTACAGAAGGGAAAAAGGAAAAAAAGAAAAAAGAAAGAAAGAGACAAGGTGCAATTGAAATAAAATCGGCAGCCAGCTTGCAAATTGAAGTCGGGCAAATTTAGGGCTTTTTGCACACAAATTTCAAGAAAATATTTATAGACACTAAAGCAAGCATGTAGCCATGTCCATAAAATTGTGTGTATTTTCAAATGGGTACCAAAACAAGGAATGAAAATTTGATGGGATATTGAGATCCCATTCAAAAGATGCCCATATGGACAGGAAATGTTGCCCTTGTGGGCAAAGACAAAGCGCTAACGGTGCACGTTAGCATAGCCTTAACCAGCAAATGGACATGCACCTCTGACACCCAACCCCACCATCTGACCAAGACTACCAAAATTCATTTGCGAGCATATGGGTACCGAATTCTGGTTGCCCCTCCCAGCACTCACCTCTCAGCATCACTATTTTAGAAAAAATATAATAAATCCAGAAACCTCCATGCATTTCAATTGTCCAATAGATGCCGAATTGAAGAAATTAAATTAAATTAGATAATGCCGAGAATTTTTATTTAATTGGTTGATTTCTTACCACGAAGAAGAAGCTTGCGGTGGGTTGCAGTGAGAGTGTTGTTTCCTGCACCAGACGAGCTTGAACCCATGGAACCATGGCGGATGCTCATGAACACAGCTGCAAAACAAAATTCAAAAATTAAAATGCGTAAAAAAAATAAATAAATAAATAAAAAAGAGGAAAATGCTAAATCATTGGATTTGGTCATCGTGTTGAAATGCAGAAAAGACAAACACATGGACCCCTTGTGTTTGTGAAAGAGATGCCAAGAACAAACAAAACAAAAAACAGAAAAGCGGATTTAATATAAAAAAAAATTAAAGTAATAATTAAATAACGAAAATCAAAAGGAATGTGGAATCTGAGAAAATCGTGGCGTGCGTGAATCTTCTCCAGTAAGATCCAAAGGCGTCCGTACACGTACCATGGTCAAACGCAGGCACGAACAGCAGCACTGCAGCCACTACTGCAAAGAAGACGAGCAAAGACGACGTAACGACCACACCGACTCGCCGAGTCATCATCATCGCGTTGAGTGGACGAGTGAGTTGAGTTGAGTTGAGAACGAACTCGGTTGCGAGAGTGAGCGCTGAGTTGACGAGTGAGTCGAAAACCTTGGCCCGCCCTGGAATATGAAGAGGCTGAAGCTGAACCTTCCTCTGCAAGCTTGGGCGATAAGCAGAAGCTAAAAGCTAAAAGCTCTGCATTGAAAACAGAGAGTGAGAGAAAGAGATTGAAGGAACCGATGAATTTATATCACATCAAAATCAATTGATCTCAATCAGTCAAAGAAAGAATAACCGTCGATTTGGAGAAGGAGAGAGAGACGGCTGAGATTTGACTTTGTACAAAGTGGGAAAGACTCACGGGGTTAATGAGGCTATAGGCTATACGCTAGGCTTTATCATAGGCTATGCAACAGGCAAAACGACGGCGATTTGAAGTTTTGGAGAGCAGAAGTTTCAGAATTGCAGGTGGTGTTTGATTTGGAACATAAATAAACACAGAAAAAGGATGCGTTTCGGTGCAAATTGAAAACTGCAATGGCAAGGCGTGTGTGGGAAAATGGAGATTTTCCGGGAAAGTTTAGGCAGCGAAATTAGAGGGGAAAGAAAACGAGAGAGAGAGTTTTAATAGACTGTAAATAGTAGTACTAGCAGTACAGGATAACTAAGGGACACAGAGCACACAAACATACACAGAGCAAAGTTGCAGAGAGAGGCAGACATTGTTGGTTCTTGCAGAGAGAGAGAGAGAGAGAGAGAGAGAGAGAGACTGCAGAAGCTCCAAGAGCGAGACAAAAATGGCAGAGCAAATCGTAGAAAGCTTTAAATGACAAAACACCACAATCCGCTAAAGCCGATCGAATTGCTATACGCATTTATTGTTCTCATCTCAGGCACAGATATACACAATACGAGTATAATATATATATATATATATGTAGGCCACGTAGACGTACCTGTAATTAGGGTTTTGGCAGGTGGTGGATCGAAGAGGAAGGTGGGAAGTCGTGTGCTCTGGTCTGGGTCTGGAGTGAGTGGTAAAAGCGGCAAGAGGTAATTATTATATACTGATTAATTATTTTTTGGATTTTTGGATTTTTTGGGGAGAGATTATTATTTGATTAAAAGGAAAATTAAATAAAGTGCACACGTGGGGGTTGTTAAACTGTTAACCGATGGCAAATGAATCATTAGGTAATTTTATCCGATTTAGCGGGAATGTTCGGGTATGATGTGGGTCCAGGGACCACACGGATGACATTTGCCATTTTGCTCGTACACGTGTGTGTTTTTGTTACTGTTTTAGGACATGGACATGGACATTTTCGTGGAAATATTAGGACCATGGACGCTGTCAAATTTTGTATTTTTCGGTAAATGGACATGGACTGGGACTGGCTTGCATGCTGCCAACAGACTACTAAAACAATTCATTCTAGTTTGAAAAAGTGATTTTGTATAGCAAATGATTCATTAGTGTAGTGATTTAGAGCAATTGTTCCCTCAATAAAGATCTTCGGTTTGAGTCATAGCATTCGTGTAGACTAATGTGTGCGTTTAATATGTTATTGCCCATCTCAATAGGAAATGTCCCAAAAAAAAAAGAAAATTGTATATGAAACAATTAATAATTATAGTAGTTTTGAAAATTATAGAAATATATTTAATACAAATTTATAAATAAACTCAATCCTAGACATGTATTTATAAAAAAACCCAAGCACTATCTTAATTCGATGAATTAAGTACATATAACCAATAGACTATTCCATAACAGATAATTTTTCAACGCAAGATATGAATATGATCTCAAATTGAAATCCAATATTATATAATTTTGATTAAATTCTGGCGTCCACGTGGAAATGCTTTTATATGAAGGATTTTTGTAAGCGTTTTTGTTAAAAGTATACCGTTATAAGAAAATCCAAGCGCTTCATGAAAAAACACATACCAGTACCATCTTCAGAGAACACTAAAAACGCTTCTAGACATATTTTGCCATACACTGAAAATCAAAAGCGTTTTTAGCTATTGAGAAAAGTGTTTTTAACACTTCCATAAGCACTCCAAAACAAAACCTACACTTCTACCTTTCTTTTGGGTCGAAATAGATAGTCCACTTCTAATTTATCTATTGAATTTTGGGTCGAACCTATGAAAAATTTGAAAAGTTGCACCAGCAAAGCCCAATCCGTGATGAGATTTATAATACTCTGGCAAATTTCTATAGTGAAGGGTGTCTACAACTCTAAAGCCCAACATTACTCAGAGAATGCAAAGGCAATGTAACGGGATCAGGAGAAGAAAAGAGTAGATATAAAACCCCTGTACTCTATACAATACTTCAACACCGCATCATTCTGATCCAAATCTTGGTGGCACAAAAAACCATCACATATTGATGCTTACATAGTTCATATCACCCCTCTCTTTGCTATCTTTTTGCATTACAACATCTACCAAGGCACTAGTGAGAAAGAAGGCTAGGCTTGTTCACCAACCATCCAAAGAATTCCTGATCTACGTTAGGCTACTTCTGAAATTCGGGTCAAACTACATTCCGCCGCGTCCTAAAGACCTACTGAATACAATGGCGAGAGGGCTTATCTATTGGATTTGAAACTAGCAGACTTCATTACTTCCAGTGCCCTTACCTTGTCCAGCAATTCTTCAATCGTATTGGATGCATCCTAAAAAAACAGCAAGCAAATAAGGGGGAAGACAACCTTAAAAAGTGAAACATGTGAACAAAACACTACTCAAACTGGGCTGACCTGCAGCTTCTTTCTCAAATTGGCCTCTTCATTGTCTCGTCGTTCCCTCTCCTCGGAGAATATCCCAATTAGAGTGTCTTGTTCCTTGTTCATTTCCACAATTTTTTGTTGTGCCGCTTGGAGCTGATCACAAGACCAGGAAGTAATGAAAAAAATATAAATAGAATGTGAAGAGAACAAACTGTTACTTAGATCTACTTCATACTTTTCCAGCCTCTAGGTGAGAATAGATAATATAGGCCGATGAATACCTGAGTTTCAAGTGACTTGCACCTATCCCTTTCACACTGCAAGTCCTGCAGCAAATCAGCTGAAGCTGCTCCATCCTTGTTCTCCAATCTATATAGAAGGAAAGAGCTGACGATGACTGCGAAGTAATAATAAGGTGATACAGTACTGAAGCAAACATAAAGCAACGTAACAAATATTTATATATAGTGGTGAAAAGGACAGAACAAGTACCTTTCCTTCAGTTCACGATTCTCTTTTCTCAATTGCTCCACTACGCCTAAATCACCCTCCAAGACAGAACAATCACCATTGACATTATTCCCCTGCCAATCGAACAAAATCCATTAGCAAAAGCCTATCATCAGAAATATAACCATCTAATGCAAAGCAATAAGTGGAACTGAAGTGACTGGAAGTAACCTTTGACTTGGAACGTGAGGTGGGCAGATAGGTTCCCCCACATGGCGAACAATCTTGCTGAGATTGAATATCTTCCGTGCATGAAGATAACCGAGTCACACCCTGGCCATCTTTCCCGGAATTCTTTTTAGTAGCAAATCCCTTATGACTACTGTCATTTACTTGCTTATCAGACATGGCTGTCGAAGGTGGTGATGGTTCAGAAGAACTTGATGATCCTTCCCCAGATTTTGTGGGCGTTTGCACTCTATGTGTGCCTTCATCAGACATATGTACAGTCGCATGCCCATGGTATGCTGGTTTAGAAAATCTTTTTGAAGATTTTAAATCAACTTTCTGAAATGCGTGTGAACGGAGCTTGTCAGGAACTGATAATGGTCTCTTGCTGCCTGACTTAGTAGCACCATTCGTTTTAGAGGGAGAAGTTTCAGGAAAATAATCAGAAGTCTCTACAAGGAAAAAAATGTTTATGAGTTGACAAGGTTGACATGAATTTTTGAATCACTACATAACTGCATAGACCACAGCAAAAAGAAAGGCTGCCGAAAAGAATGCAGGGTCCATGACATACCTTTATCTGCAGAGCCGTTAATAAGCTTCTTATTACGCCGTGGAGCATAGCCAATTTTATGACAAAAATTATTCCTATATATGCAGTAGTGAATGTCCATTTGTGAGTATCAAAACAACAAAGAAACTCATAGAAGTACGGACGCAATGTTCGCAATTAAGCTAAAGCACAAACCAGTAATTCTTTTGCATAGTTAATAATTTTCCCTCGAGTCTTGAAAGAACTGTTGTACGCTCAAAACCCTGTTTATCATGTGCTGGTTCAACAAAATTGGCTTCTAAGAGACCTGCAAGAATAAAATGCCTCAGAAGAAAACTCAACTTTATCTAAGATTTTAAGTGAGGGAACTTGAATCCATAAACAATACCTATAACACCACGGCCGTCACTTCCTGCAGCATTCCAAAGCCTCCAAAATGGCTGGGTATAAAAAATAACTTTGTGTAAGAAAACTTCCAAAGTTTATCAACTTGTGCTCAAATACTGATGTAAAGATCATTGCTCAAACAGGAAATCCAAGAGTGAATACTTCATTGAAAAGGCAACAAACTTAGAAATAATGAAGTTTAAAACTAAAAATACCTTAATCAGTCGATTTTTGTGATAAACATTGAACCCTTGAACATCAATGTGATGTTTTGCATCCTTCACAAACCCAACGGTGACAACGGCAACCATCTGATTACGAGAGTTGCATGCCATTAGAAAGACAACAGAAAAAGTAAGCATGATTAGTAAATTAATTTTTTTTAATACATTACATTTGAATCCTTTGGAATCCCATCAGCACCAGGCTGTGGCCGATATGTGACTTGCTGGGACATCATCATATCATTCACTATGTTGTGGTGCTCAACATCCTTCCCACGAAGAATGATTCGGAAGTTATGAGGAAGCCGCAAATAGAGAATTGATGCATAGCTCTGGAGTCAAAATGAAGAAACATATTAATAAAGTTGACATATAGACTAATTCTGTCTAAAACATAATACAGGACCCATGTTACAAAATTCTTTTCACTCAACACTCAGTTTATTTCTTATTCTAATCTCTCCTAATTCTTAATATGGAAAAAAAATATCTAACCTTAAGACTAATAAATAATGTAGTCAAAGACTCTGACTAGAGGAGTGGGGGAGGGGTGTTGCATAATATAGGGTTCTGAACGCTGGTCCAAGACCCAATCAAGAACTGGGAAATGATAGTTGGGCAACCAGGATGGTGAAATTTGACTTTACCCTCAACGAGTGCCGGTAGGTCAAGAAAAAACGAGAGTTGGGAAATTCTTTAGCCATTTGTATATTCTTTTCAGCTCGATTGACACCTCTAATTTGAATATCCTGCAAAATCAGACACCATATATGACTGCTAGAATAGCGAAGCCACTGGAACAAAAAAGATAATATATATATATATATATATAACTCATGAATCAACATACATGTGGATCAGCATCAAAATCCAGCTCCAGCTGTCCTTCATCATCCTCCCAAAGGTTGTATATGATAATTCGGGTGCCATGGTTTTTCATCATATAGAACTAAATGGTAGTAAAAATAACAAAATCAATGACAAAAAAATTCTGCATAAGATAGTTCCATACCATCTTACCAATTTGGTATAAGCCCTACAACAGTATTGAAGTACCTGATGATGCAGGTCTTCTTCACTAGAAAATGGTGACCATTGAACTATTGTTTCCGCATTTTTGTTCCAATCACTTAGAGAGGATCGTAACATCTTGCTCCAAGCCCCCTGTCTTCTCTCATAATCAAGCTTTTCATTTCATGCACACAACAGAAGACATCATTTTTATTCAGGTATGCTAACTTAGCAATAAATAAGAAAGCGCACTAATCATATTCCATCTTAACAAAATACAAACAAGTGAACATCTACAAATTACGGTTGCTTTACTGATAAAGGATCAGCATGTAACTTAAGCAATGATTCTTTTTTGAGGGATTTGCTTTTGAGGGATTTGCATAAGTTTATTGAAAATCCAAAAGACAAGCACTCGAGTGGTAATAAAAACAAAGGAATTGTAAAATCTAACAGCAATTATAACAAAGAATTACGTCCAAAAAACAGTATCCCCAAAAAAGAATCCTCCACCACTAAAACCAAATGATCCATCCTGTCAAACATCCTACTTCTTTCTTCTCTCAAAACATACCAAACACCTTGAGGGCAAAATCATTATATAAACAAAGAAAAGCTAATGTCCTTGATGTAACGCCCTTAAAATCAAATTGTTCATGCTGAGACTGTTAAGGACTGGTGTGATAGAAGTGGATGTACACCACCTACTCGCTAACCACTACTCATGCCTCAGGTTGTGAACATGCAACGCACCAAAGATGCTCAAAAAGAGATGGATGCAAAACTACATATTTTCCTAACCCAAAAAGGTTTATACATCAATGATGCCTCAAAACGTGCACCTCACAAGATAAGGTTTCCCCTTTTGATTCTAGCACAGCTTTTTAAGTTCCAATTAACAGTTAAATCCCGACCTACCTCACTGATGTGACAACTGAATACGTGTGAAGTCTCATCGAATAAACAAAAAGACTTGAGACTATGTATGAAGTCCATGAGATAGAAAGGGTTAAATGTCATTACCATGGGAACTACAATATCTTCCTTTCCTGTGCTCTTCAAAAATGTGTAAGACAGCAATCCAATGCTCTGTGTTGCACTAAAATCAATGTCAACATGTCTCAATGAGTTTCAGAAGTAGAAAAATTAATAAAAGCATAGAAGAAAAAAAATGGATTTTTTTTTTTAATAAAAGAGAGAGAAAAGTGGTAACTATGACCATAAATACAAAATAACATAATTATCTTCACACTTTTTTTTCAAGTACTGGTTTTAACTAATACTGCTTCAGTCACAAAAACTGAAAACAAGCCTCATTCACCATAACAGGTCTAAATGCACTTGAGCAACAAATGATATACATATTAGACTGCTTAATAGTTCCAAGATAATTAATCATTCTCATTTTATAGACAGTCATTCTCCATGCCAAAGTGGATACAAGAGATGGATGCAGAAAAGTCTATAAGCAATCATCATTTCTCAACCTTACATGCAACTACAAATTCATAAATCCATCCATCTTTCCACATAAGCTGAAGAAAATAACCGTTACTAACCAAACAGGAAAAGCAATGTGAAAGAAACAACAATAAACAAATATGAACAGAAAGAAACCTTTTTCCATCTTTTCCATTGCAACGAGAGAACACGATTACATCTGCTCCGAGCCTCATGGTGCTTGTTTTAAAACCATTTCCATCTGCATAAACAAGCAACTAACATGATTTTTGGGAGATATATCTATACATAGAAAAAAAGAGACACTTTGGTTTAATACTGGTGTTATACATTGTCCTATAGTGTTCGCGACTTTGCTTTTCGCAGAATACCCCAATGACATGCAGTGCCGCATCTTATCGGGATCCATCCCACCACCGTTATCTGCAATACACATCAAATGGATTTCCCAACAAAAAAAGAATAGAAATTATGAATAAAAGTAAAACCTCTCAGCATTCTCCGAAATACAACCAACAGAAAAATACCTTCAATCAGCAACATTCTGCTTTGGTCTTTCTTATTTTCAACCATATCTAGGTTAACATATGTCGCACCACTACAAACCTGTGGATAAGATGAAGAAATAGGTCCAAGCAGTGAGGAAAAAAACCCATGCACACAAAAACATAACGAAAATTATGAACGAAAAGCTACCTCATCCAACGCATTGTCTAAGAGCTCCGCGAAAGCTGCAAAACATCACAGGATTACACCCAAGCATCAAGCATAGAGATCAAAATCCAGCATTACACAGGAACAATTAAATTTACCTCCAAGAGCCCACTTATGGCTTGTTGCGTTGGAATGCAAAAACTTCGGATGAACCCTGACATGGTCCATCCCACCTGCATATTTAAAAGTAAACTTTGTTGAACATCATATTTGCAGCCGTACTTGATCCATATAAAAGCACCATTAATCATGCTACACTCTTCAATTTGGGCAATAGACCCCATGTCAAAGCAAAACCCACTCTTGCATGTCAAGAACGACTCTTTTAACTAAGTGAAGAAGTAAACTTCCATCATAGTGTCTCCATATCCATAGGACGAAAATATTTAAAATTTTATCCGAAATCAAACAGATCATAGTAAAAACTTGTGAAAATTGTCGGATGATCCGTAGGCGGGGACCAATTATAGTAATTTGTTTCAACCGAGAGATAAACAAAGACAAGGATAATCTTTCTAAAACAAGAAAAAAGAAGCACAAAGAGAACAATGTAGCAGATTTTGAAGAGCGAGAGAGAGCTTTAGATTACCAGCAGTAGATTCCCAGTTGCCACAAGGAGCTCCCTCATAATCCCCAGCCTTCCAGAACTGCTTACAGCTAGGCCCACTGACCACCACAGTCTTTTCGACGCGCGTTACCGCCGCATCTGGCTCCGGAAGCATCGGCGCCACCCCCTCCGGGGGCAGAGGACTCAGAAAACCAACCGGCAAAACGACACCCATCCCGTCTAGCTTCCTCTTCTTCGCCAAACCCCCCGAAACGCCTCCGATATCGTCCGAATCGTCCGAGTCCGACTCGCCGCTACTGCTGCTGCTGCTACTACTCGTGCTCAGATCGATTACCCACCCCGGTGGTGGCACCACCTTCGAAGTGACGCCGTTTAGTTTCCCCGTAGGATGTGGAACATTAGAAGTTTCCAGAAGCTCCTGCTTCACCGTGGCTTCCATGGCTGATAGCTTGAAAACAGGAAACTCAAAAGGCGAACAACAAAGCAGAATTTATGGAGGTTTTTTTTCTTTTCCGCTTTCCCTCTGCACTCTTTTGAGTTTTGAGCTTTAAACTTTTCTTGTTCATTTATTGATGTGGAGATCATCGAGTCAAGGGTGGGATACTACTATGCGGACGAGTGTACGGGAATCCAACTGCAGCTCATATTATTACACACACCTAATAATTAGGACAAAAATTTAGTGGTTAAGTCAAAATAAATGGTAACAGGTGTGGTTCTGGCTCATTCCTGATTTGGTAAATTATAATTGAACTATATGGATGGACCATACTCCTTAATTAATTGTTAATACAATTGACTAATACAAGTCGATTATGGATTATGTTATAAACTATATGTAGTGGATGCCCACCATATGTCACATCATACCCAACTCTACCTACCATATAGGTCGCCCTCCCACTGACTTGCTACATTGCATTTGTATTCCAAATGCCTATAAATGGCCAAACAACCCAAAAGTGAAGTGGAGATTATGGGTATGTACTTCAACTTTTTAAATATGTGGGTCTTACATGAGTTATGCAATTTTCCTGGTGGTATTTCTTTTTTCAAGTTCAATTATCTCGTTCTTCATTAATCAATAATAAAATTGATATTAAAAGTTGAAAAAGAAAATTAAATTGAGGTAAAAATTGGGAACATCTTCAATTGTACTTTTTTTATTATTATTATAGACTTTTCCTATTTTCAATGGTACTTTTAAATGTAATTAAGCAAACAAATTTTTAAGGTTATACGATGGTTGCACCTGTAAGTCTCAATTATTGTGAGAAAGTTGATGCACATGACAAATTATTCTTTAAATAAACTTAGACGATCTTATCTTCTTATCATTTGGATAAACTTGAACGATCTTATCTTTTAAAGATATTATCTTTTAGATAAACTTGGGCAATCTTATCTTCTTATCATTTGGATAAACTTGAATGATCTTATCTTCTTAAGATACTATTCTTTGAATAAACTTGGACGATCTTATCTTCTCATGATATTTATCTTTTGGATAAACTTGAATAATCTTATATTCTTAAGATATTTACCATTTGAATAAACTTAGATATTCTTATCATATAATAATTAAAAGTGTATCCTATCACTATATGACTATCAGAAGAAGCATAACCTCATGATCATAGTTTCTAACATGAGACCTAAGAAAAAAAAGATGAATAGAGGGCGTGTTGGTGGAGACTCGTGGATAAGTTGTCTTATCATTTGTTTTTAGGGTTCTCGATAGGAAGCTAAGTAGATGTAATGAAAGTTCATCATGGAATTATTCTATTTACAAATATCTCTATATTTCAAGTCAGACATATGTCTTAAATTCGGGCTGCACATATAGGTCTGACTCATTGTGAGAAAACTATCACATAGGACTACTCCACTTCATAATTTTCTCTTTTATATGATCAAATAACACTCATTATCACGTTGTCCAAGATAATTTTTTTTAAAGCATCTTTATGTTTTACGAGAAATTATTTCTCTCACACTGTCCAAGATAACTTTTATGAATGAGTTTCAATAAACATGTGGAAATAAGATTATGTAGAGTAATGGCGTTTTAGTTTCCTTATCTCCCAGGCTTGCTTGTTTTTATTTTTATTTTTTTAAAATAGAAAGATTTCCTCTCATACAGGGAACTGTATGCGGCAATAGTCTTTGAGTAAGTTCAATTAGTACATGCCTCTAATTGGTAGACAGGAGATCACATTGTAGCCAATACCTCTTTGACAATTTAACAATTTATGCACATGATTTGATTGGTTAAAATACTACCACATCAATGTCCCATACATTTTGACCCACAAATAATTTGTCCCATTCATATTGGCAAAGACAAGTTGCTAGCTCTTAGAAATCTTTATGAGAAATATTTTTCAAATTTTTTTTACTCCCTATAGGGTTTTATATGGTCCAATCACCTGTATCCTAGTCTCGTAAGGATTTGGGTAATCAAAGCCAAAACCTTTTCTAATTCTCCAATTTAGTAAATATTAATTAGCAATGTTCATTAACAATAAATTGTTATCCACTTTGGTGGAGGGAAAATTTGATGTTACTTTGAAGATGTTATTTTCTCCACTTTGGTTTAATGGGTGTTTTTAGTGTTGTAAATTCATAGCATGCGGCCAGATTTAGGACTTACCTTGTAGAATAATCTGAATTAGTAGGAGATCTCAGAATATTCCAACACCAAATCAGCTATAAAATTTTGCTCCTACTTGGTCCACGTACCCAAGGCTTAAGGTGAAACGTGAAAGTGATTGCCCTTAAACAGAGCATATAGAGAGAATGGTTAGTTTTATGAGAAAGATAGGGGGAGACAAAATTTCAAGATGGAGAAATTTTTGGTGACTTATAAGATTGAGTTTGAAGTGAAACTCAACTTACGAATCATCGCTCAACATGAGGTCTTATGTTCGATTCATTCTCTTATATAAAAATCTAGTTAAGTCAGGTCATTTATGGTTACGGTTACAGGTAAGAGTAGACTTAGGCATGTTGGGTTAGGGTTGGACTAAGAGGTCTTATGTTTGATTCATTCTCTGAAATATAGTATAGTTGAGTTGGCCCATTTATAGTTACAAGTGTATGGGTCTTTTTATTCCAGCAGCCTGACGAATAGAATTTGGCTGCTAAAAAGAGAAACAGGTGAAATTACCCATTGAGTCTGAGTTCAAAGATCAGACCCCAAGAATGCTTCGAAAGGGTAACGAAGCCTTAGGAAACATCCTGGTTATCTTCACCAACAAAAACAACAACTGCTTACAGGTAGATTCTTAGCTTGACATGAGAGGCATGAGAACAAAACCATCATGAGTTTAGCATAAACAGAGAGAGAGCTGTGAATTCTTATGAAAAACAGGGGTCCTAAGAAAAAGGAGAAGGGATTCTAAGAGGGTTTGTTGAAGTGGGAGATAGATGAGAGAAATAATGGGTGTGTTGAGTAGTTTCATGCAGCTTGACGAAAACTTTGTCAGGTAACAAAACAGTCTGCCATGAGGGAAAAATAGGGGAGAAGGATGAACATGACACGAAATCGCTGGGTTTTGGAAGCAAGAGAGGAAGCTTGCTCTCTGGATGTGGATCGAGTGAATTTCCAGTTGCTTGACGAAGCTTGGTCGCACTCTAGATTATGATTTTTGCTGGGTAGAAGAAGCTCCATTTTATAGGCACTTAGAACCATAATTATATCAATCCTCCATTCCCACTTTTCCTTTGCTTCTTTCCATTCACTCATTTTTTGTGAAATTTCTTTAACCAGAGCGCATGGGTCACAAGTTCTTTGGGGTTCCAAGGTTTTTTGTGAGGCTGGACCTTCCTAGGGGATGAGGCGCCACCTGCGTTTCTTATTGGTTTCCCTATTAGAGCTCGCAGAGAAAAGGAGAATGGATAGAGATTTTGCATAATGGGTATTCCTCCTACACGTACAAATTCCCTTTGGTTTTTCTGATGGCTTGCGTTGAGTTTGTCTTTGGCCATGTGCTAGAGTCTCCTAGCAGCCTGAGCATACAAACATCTCCTGGTTTTCTATCGTGGTTTTATTTCAAACCATATGTTGGAGATTTTTTTGGATATTTTCTAAGCCACTTGGGCTACTTGGGCCTTCCTATGGTATTGGGTCATCTTTTCTAGAGTATTGGGCTTTTTTCTCTCCCTTATACTTACCCACATATTTGGACTCAAGAAATTAGCTTGAGTTTTGGGGCTCCCAAGCAGCTCAAAACTTCAATTTCTCGGCTCATCAATGAGCCTTATGAAAGCTCGTTACCATCTATATCACAACCTACTCAAGCAAGCCCCGGGCATTTTGAGTGGCTTGGACCCAATTAAGCTTGTAGCGTGGCTATGTGTAATAATAATGATTTTCCGCTTGGCATTGCATGTCGCTTGGCGTGCTTGAATTTTGTCGCTTTGAAGAGGGATATGACGCTTAATAATTAGCTTGGGCTCATAAAGCCAATGCTTATTTCAACTCTTAGCATGATAGATTGCATATTTATTTGGCATGACACGTGAATCATGACTCGCGCGAGCGTGAATGATGAAATTTCGCGTGCTCCAAATCGGGTCTTTTCTTAATAAGGCATTGCGTTGGGCTGAGAATTTATTTGGACTCAACCTTGGATTTTTGGGCCTCAACAACAGGCAAGAATGGAATTCAACCCGTTGTGCTCGGGTTGACCCTATTCGGCATGCAAACAAATAATTCTACCATTTTAAAGGCGGTTATACTCTTTAAATAAATTCAAATATTTAAAAGGCAAAACTTTGTGTCTCCTCCTCCGGTTGCTATTCTACCTGCCAGAACGGGGAATGATATGGTTAGAGTTTTGTCATGGGGAGGTGGTTTGGGCTCCGTGGAGAGACAAGGAGGACTTTGCACAATTTTGCAACACATAAAGTCGAGCAAGTAACTCCCCTTGGTGCTCTGCTTCTTCATGAATGCTTTTTACCTTCGCTTCTACCAGTTCCTATGAAAACCACGGGAAAACAGAGTGATTTGAATCAAGAGTACGTGGGTTTCTACCAATTTCCACCGATAATGTGTGGAAGAGGGTAAGCTTTCTATGTGGATAGGACGTATCAACACTTTTTGCATCTTTTAGCGCTCGGGCGTATGTTGAACCTACACTTTCTCGATATAGATATTTTTGTGAAGAATTCCTATGGTTTGAAATTGTCCTTCGTCTGGTGTAAGCTAGACCAGCATCCGAAGCGTGCGAATCCACGCAAGCCATTGCGAAAGCCTCTGCCTTAGCATAAGAGCAAGAGGTTCCAACCCCCAGGGTGTGCCCACCCTCGATTCATCAAGCCCTATCTCCATTTAGATTAGAGCAAAGAAGTACCTATTGGTCAAGCCAGCTCAGTGCAGTAACCATTCTTGATCGTTGGAAGGTAGAAATTGTAAATCAATAGGGGAAGAAACTCCAATTGCCAAAGTTTATGAACAACTATCTCAGTAAGTAATCATATTACCTTGTGATTATTTGGTTTATAAATGGGATACACTCAGAGTAGTTAGTTGGAGT